CAGCCAAGCCTGGGTAGGAGAATGTTAAAGGCCTGAGACAGCTCTGGTCTGCTGCTGTCTTCTCACAATGGTGGTCAGACTAATAGCTATGTATTGGCATCATGGGGCTCACAGTAAGGAAACAAGGTCGTGCAGACTGTGCATGGTATAAAAAAATGTAAACTCCATTGTAAAAAAAAAAAAAGGAAGAATTATTGTTAACTGGAGAATGAAAATGTTATTTAAAATTTTGCTTGCTAAAAATACTTTATCACTCAAACCATTTTTTACCAAAACGAGTATAATTCTAAAGTAAAAGGACAAAACATTTACCCTAATTCCATCGTTTTTAGTAATCATACTGGTTGGTTTGTTGATGTCTGGATTTTTTATCCCACCCTTGTCCACAGGCATATGACATATATGTTTTTTTAAACATGGGATTGAACCCAGAGGAGCCCTACCACTGAGCTACGTCCCCATCCCTTATATGTTTTTATTTTGAGACAAGGCCTGGCTAAGTTGTTGAGGCTGACCTCAAACTTGTGACCATTCCTGCTACAGCCTCCTGAGTAGCTGGGATTACAGGTATTTACCACTATATCCAGTGGCACATGATATTTTTACATCATCGTAATTATCCTACATATAGTTAAAAGTCTTTTAATTTATTTACAAAAGGTGCTAGATGACACAGAGGTCTGTATTTCTACATAGGCTTCATGATTTGTCAGTTACGGATTTTAAAGACTTTTACAACATGCAGTGATTTAGACAGTTTTCCCTGCTGCTGGACATTTTAGAATTCTTCACATAAATACAATGACTACTGTTGTGTTTATATTTTTCCTTCTTTTGGATTGTTTTCTGAAGATACATTGTTAAAACAGAGACTTAACACACCAAAGTTGCTACAAAGATAAAGTGATTTTTGTTCTGTATTTTGGTGTATATTTCTACATTTCTTTCCAGTTAAAATCAGTAAAAAGTGTGCATGTCTCATTTTCATTGCAACTTTATCAGCCCCAGATGATATATTTTTACATATTTTTGCTAGTTTTAATGTTTTCAAAAGCAGTGTAATTTTTATTTTAAATTTGTTTTTAGTTCTTATTAATATTATTTTTTTCAGCTCCTCCTTGAGTGATATGATCACACATACCCTGAATAAAGGCAAATGCTTTGAAGTAAAAGTATGTAATTAATTTTGTTTGGCTGGGCTTTCAGCATCCTAAATCAAGAGTAATCATTTTAAAAGTGCTCTGTTTTCCACTGCAAGTATTATTTTGTCCATCAATTTCCATATTTTCTTCTGATATGTATTTTATTAAATATTTAAATTTATTTATACCATCACATTCCATGCAAGAGAAAATGCTTTTATAAAATGCATTCAAATAATTAAAGTCTAAGGCCAAAGCAATGGGAAGGACAATTGTGCACCTCTTGTGGTCCTTATTAATTGGTCCACATGCACACACATCTCCGACCAGCCGCCTTTGTCTGGCTTGTCAGAGGACATTAGCTGAGACTGATTCTGAAGCCACTTCCTGGCTCCCAAATGGACATAGTCACTAAGAAAGAAAGAAAGACTCATTTATCAGAATAAAAACTTCGCTGCGTAAGTGAGGATTGTGCAAGGCATATTTTATGCATCATTATCTGGGCCTGATTAGCAACGATGGAGATTGGTCCTCAATTTTAACAATCAGCGGAAAAGAACCTTCAGCTTTCACTAAAGAGAGACAATTGCCTTAGACATGTCTCTGTGTTTTCTGCACAATAGGAAAATAGAGGCAATAGCCCTTGCAAAGACAGCTCTCAAATTGTTTTGGCAGCAGTTGTCTCACGGATGCCATTGTCCTCTTGACGCAAATCAAGCACCACCCCGCTCTCCTGAGCAGGCGGGCTGACATCTTCTGGGACACTCTGAGCCACAGGGGGATGTATTGTGCCTCTTGGCCTCAGACATGGCCAGACCACCTGGTTGGCAAAGCCCAAGCTTTGGAGCAGGTACACCTAGCTCTGAATGCTGGTGTGACTTTGTGCAGATCTCTGAGGCTCTCTGTATATACTTTCCTATCTGTACAATGATGATAACAACACTACCTATCTCATAAATTGCTTGTGCGGATTCTAATAAGATAATGTATAATAAAGAGGTCTGTTCAGGGCTTGGCATGAGACGGTCACCTGCTCTGAAACAAAGGCTTGCCAGGCCATCTCCTCCTATTGGGTCTCAGAGGAGGCAATCGGGGAAGAGCATGAGAGGCAAGGATAGGAGCTCTTGTACTGTTACAGTGGCTACATGTTTGGTGTCACCTTTGCCATTATCTTCATGTTCCCAGTGGCAGGCCAGGGAAGCACAGCTCTGTGGGTGGCATGATCAGCCCTCCCCCTCATGCTCCTGTCCCCTCCATCACCTGCCCAGTACAAGAACTAAGCCAGAATAAAAGCATGACAAAGGAACAGATCAAAGAATATATAAAAGCCCCTTATTATAGAGGAATGGCAAGTCTATCCTTTTTCAGAATTTGGCAGGTAGGTCACCGCTAGGGACGGCACAGATGAAGGTATGAGCTTAAAAAGTTGACAGGGCTTCTGGAAACCACCCAAGGAGTTTGAAATGTCCTCCCCACTGTTCTCTTGACAATGTGAACTGTATGACCATGTCCTGTGCCAGAGCCTATAGCCTTCATCACTGGGGCCCTGAGGGTCACTGAGAGAAAACCCAAGTGCTCAGGGACAGCTTAACACATAGAAATGAGCTGGACCAGCTCCTGGCTACCATATTACATGTGCATACCGGGGATTCATATTCCTACTCCTTATTACCAGGTGCTAGGTATAGGTGACTGCGCCAGGTGACACAAGTATGCAAGCATTTCCCATTGCACATGAACTTGTTTTGTGCAGCAGAATTATTTTTAATTTTATTTATTTTTTATTTCAGATTTTTATTTTTTTAATTTATATATGACAGCAGACTGTATTACAATTCTTACTACACATATAGAGCACAATTTTTCATATCTCTTGTTGTGTACACAGTATATTTACACCAATTCATGTCTTCATACCTGTACTTTGGATAATAATGATGATCACATTCCACCATCACTAATAACCCCATACCCATTCCTGTCCCCTTCAACTCCTCTGCCCTATCTAGAGTTCATCTATTCCTCCCATGCTCCCGCTCCCTATCCCACTATGAATTAGCCTTTATGTCAGAGAAAACATTCAGCATTTGTTTTTTGGGGATTGGCTAATTTCTTTTTATTATTATTAGTTGTTCAAAACATTACATAGCTCTTGACATCTCATATTTCATACATTTGATTCAAGTGGGTTATGAACCCCCATTTTTACCCCTTATACAGATTGCAGAATCACATCGGTTATACATCCATGTTTTTACATACTGCCATACTAGTGTCTGTTGTATTCTTCTGCCTTTCCTATCCTCTACTATCACCCCCCCTCCCCTCCCCTCCCCTCCCATCTTCTCTCTCTACCCCATCTATTGTAGTTCATTTCTCTCCCTTGTTTTTTTCCCCTTTCCCCTCACTTCCTCTTACATGCAATTTTGTATAACGATGGGGGTCTCCTTCCATTTCCATGCAATTTCCCTCCTCTCTCCCTTTCCCTCCCACCTCTCGTCCCTGTTTAATATTAATCTTCTTCTCATGCTCTTCCTCCCTGCTCTGTTCTTAGTTGCTCTCCTTATATCAAAGAAGACATTTGGCATTTGTTTTTTTAGGGATTGGCTAGCTTCACTTAGCATAATCTGCTCTAGTGCCATCCATTTCCCTGCAAATGCCATGATTTTGTCATTTTTTAGTGCTGAATAATACTCCATTGTGTATAAATGCCACATTTTTTTATCCATTAATCTATTGAAGGGCATCTAGGTTGGTTCCACAGTCTAGCTATTGTGAATTGTGCTGCTATGAACATCGATGTAGCAGTATCCCTATAGTACACTCTTTTAAGGTCTTTAGGGAATAGTCCGAGAAGGGGAATAGCTGGGTCAAATGGTGGTTCCATTCCCAGCTTTCCAAGGAATCTCCATACTGCTTTCCAAATTGGTCGCACCAATTTGCAGTCCCACCAGCAATGTACAATTGTACCCTTTTCCTCACATCCTCGCCAGCACTTGTTGTTGTTTGACTTCATAATGCTATGGGTGTCCTATTAAGGAATTTGGAGCCCGACCCCACAGTATGTAGATTGGAGCCAAGTTTTTCTTCTATCAGACGCAGAGTCTCTGTTTTGATATCAAGCTCCTTGATCCATTTTGAATTAACTTTTGTGCATGGCGAGAGAAAGGGATTCAGATTCATTTTGTTGCATATGGATTTCCAGTTTTCCCAGCACCATTTGTTGAAGATGTTATCCTTCCTCCATTGCATGCTTTTAGCCCCTTTGTCAAATATAAGATAGTTGTAATTTTGTGGATTGATCTCTGTGTCCTCTATTCTGTACCATTGGTCCACCTGCCTGTTTTGGTACCAGTGCCATGCTGTTTTTGTTACTATTGCTCTGTAGTATAGTTTGAAGTCTGGTATCGCTATACTGCCTAATTCACTCTTCCTGCTTAGAATTGTGCAGCAGAATTTAAAATTGGACTTCAGGCTGCAGACTGAATGGCACTTTGTGTGGTTTGGGTATTGCTAACACTTTGGGATCACATGCACACACATACCCCAAATATACCAAATACCACCTTCAAACCACATCACATACAACACATTCACCTCATATATGCACACATGCCACATACACATCTCCAATACACACATGCTCACATATACACTCATACCATACATATGCACATAGACATCACTCACAAATACACAATCTGTCAGTAGTTCCAAGGGCAATGGTGGGCTAAACAGTACGTGACTGCTTGAATTTGATGAACTGTCCCATTCTCAAATATTTCTAGAAAGGAGTTCATTAAATCAATACTGAGAGAAGTAAATAAGTGCTTTTTCTTACTCTTTGGACTTCCCTAGATCTGAGAAAGCTATAATAGTCTTAAATAATGATGAAGAACTATTCATTACTGGACAATTCCATAAGACCTTGGCAGAACTTGATGAAGACCTAGAAGGTAAGAGCCACCAACCTACTCTTTTGGTGGTATACTATGTGGCCATATCTGTTGAAGTTTAGTATTTCTGAGTACACTTTTGTATAAGTACCCAGGGAAGAAGTCTTCAGAGGGTTTTACAGCATCATCCTAGAGATAGGACTTGAGGGCTGAACTCTCAGGAGGTCTTGAACTTGAAGGTTGAACTGGACTTGAGGACTGAGCTCTCAGGGGAGCATGGTTTTTAATGGACATCTTTCCATCAGGGCTCCAAGCAGTACATGGAAATGTCTGAATGACTGCTTAAGATGTGCTTAATTAATGTGCTCTGATTAATACTAATTTTGCACATTAAAAAGTATCCCATATACATTTAAGAAAATGAAAAGGTCTGGATAGGGAAACAGAAGGTGCACAAAGATAAATAGATGTTTTTATTAAAACTTGTAACCCTTTACTTGCTAAAAAGGAAAGGCACAAAGTTTTGTCCATTAGACCCATTTATATAGGAGCATCCCATGGAACGTTTTATTCTGTTGCTATATGGGGGGCAGGGAATAATACTATTAAGGTCAGGGCAGGTGCAAATAATTTCAGTAAACAAATAAAAAAATCTTTCAAACAAAAGAGCTATGTTACTTTCTCTAAGGCACAAATTGAAAGTAAACTAGAAATTTGATGTTGCTGATGCCTTAAAACAAGAAAGAGGAAACAGATTATAAAACTGATCAGTAGTTGCGTTCAACTTGCTTTCCAGTTTCTTTCCCAGCTATGATTGACGTAGCTGTACAGTGTCCCACAATCTGTGAACACATAACCCACTGCCTCACTCAGCAGTTAGAAGAGTTGATGACTCTGTGGAACACAGGCTTGGTCATTCTCTCTTTAAGAAGTTAAAGCTAGAGCAAGTTTTGTATGTCTTGCCATGCTCCTGGTGGGCACCAGAAATGCAGAGGTCAAGTTCACTTTCATGCTTCTGTGTTGAAAATAGATTTTTCCAGAAGCTTGGATTTAGAAATCTATTTCTTATTGAACAGCATTGGCAAAATGTTACAACTGAACAATTACCTGGAAGCATCATAGATCTGCAAACAGATCTTTTGTAGTTTATGAAAGTTGAAATTCTGGCCCCAGGTAATGTAGATTACAATTAAAAAATAAATTTTAACACAAGTGTAAGTAGTTTACTCAAAGTCGCTCTAGGGAAGTCAAAGTCATGGTCATGATTAGGTCATCAGTATGGTGATTGTGCATGCCATGTTGACCAGTGACTTGCATTTGTCTTTCTTTCAGAAATGGAAGAGAGTTATGAAACAGACACTAGCTCACTAACCAGCTCCACAAATGGTGTGTCCCACCACAGTATGCAGGATGCCATCATCCCCAACAGTGACGCAGATTCCATCCCAGTGACGTTCATCGGGGAAGTTTCAGATGATCCTATAGATTCAGGACTGTTTTCCAATAGAAACAACAATGCTGGTTCTTTTGACGTGGGGAGCGTTGCCTGCAGAAGAGACCCCCAGGCCTCATTTCAGGCTGGGCACAGCCAGCCTCATGAAAGGATGAGGGAAGAAGCTCCTGACCCCTACACTCCTTCCTATGACCTCAGAAAGGAAACCCAATCCAGTACCTCTCAAGATGGGAATTTCGTTGAAATAGGGCCCAAGGTGACTTCTTTCATTTCAAAACTTCAAATAGATGGCCTAAATGCAAAGGAGAAAGGGAAAGTGCCTGTTCTGGCTTTTAGTGAGACAACACATCCTGCCCAGAGGGTGAATTTACAGCCAAAAAGTGAAAAGGAAAGCAACGGAAAAACCACTGTCTCAGTACCACCATCATGGTATCAGCAAGGCCAAACCCCCAGGGGAAGTTACGGACTGAAGTGCGGCCTCACTACCTACAAAATTGTTCCTCCCAAGTCAGAGATGAGATGCTATGACAGAAATGTGTCCCTCTCCACGGGCGCCATTAAGATTGATGAGCTGGGGAACCTAGTGAGCCCCCATGTGAACAGCAGCAGGACCATACCCATCTCATCATCTGTTATTGAAACAGAAGCTCAACCCATTGGGAAAGTCAAGGAGTTCTGGAGGTGCAGCTCATTGGAGAAGCAGCTGAACCAGCCCACAGATTGTTCAGCCAGGAGGAACCCCTCCGCCACCACCACCACCATACCAGCCAAGCCACAGCCCAATAACAGACTCCAGGTGGCCCCAACATTGACTGCACCCCAGCAGCAGGCTGGCCCCCAAGAATGCAGGACACACCTGGAAGAGGGGAGTAGCCGACCACCTTCCTCAGTCACTTGTCACATGAAAGTGCCAGCAGCTAACACCACAGAAGTCACATTCCTCAAACCTCAGAGAAGAACATCCAGCCAGTATGTGGCCTCTGCGATTGCCAAGCGGATCGGACCTCCCAAAGTCCATACTGATGTGGTGAGGCAGCACAATAATGTGGAAAAGTGTCATGTGGGTAGAGTACCAAAGCTACCAGGAGAGCCTGTCACTTTGAAGCATGATACAGCCCCCAACCTGTACTCAGAGGCACGAGGACATACACATGAGGCAAAGCAGCCTGGCGTCAGCCTTCCCAGCAATGCTGGGGGAGAGTCAGCCGCGGGAGCCCAGCCTAGAGGGGAGGTCAGCAGCACATGTGGGAAGTTGTCTACTCAAGACTGTCCTGCCACTGTCCACAGAAGCTCTTATTTCCCACTAGTCAGATCTTCCCAGAAGGATCATGTTTCTGTGGGACAGAGCTGTGGTTTCAATGAAAAGCAAGGCGCGAGTAACCAAAAGACCAGCTCAGCATCTGACCCTGGGCTCACACTGGACAGGGCACACCCGCCCCCTCCATGCCTGGCAGATGCTCAGAGCTCCAGCAGGGCACTGGTGAATGGCTATACAGGGGCCCCAGACAAAAGCAAGCCTCCTGACTCTCCCAAAGTGCCCAGCACTAGTAGCCACATTGTCCTAGAAATGGAACAAAAACCCAATTCATTATCTACAGATGTGCATGAAACAGATGGTACATTGCCACCCAGCATTTTTGGGCCAAAGAAAAAATTTAAACCTGTTGTCCAGAGGCCAGTTCCAAAAGATACATCCTTGCACAGCGCCCTGATGGAAGCCATCCACTCTGCAGGAGGGAAGGAAAAACTCCGCAAGGTGAATGCAGTGGCCATGGGGGAAACAGGTGAAGGGATGTCCTGACCAGAATACCCACACCTGTCCTAGATTTTTATAAGAGGATCAGAGGAGAGACAGGAAAAGCATAGCAATAAGGATTAACACCCAGGTTTCATTTTTAACTAGAATGTCTGTCTCCTCCTTTCCTCAAGAATATTTGAATAGAACTAGTAAAGAGGCTAAAATGAATGTGTTTTGGTTTTTCAGGCTCAAACATGAGAGTAAAAGATGTCAGTCAATGAATGTCCATCCACCCGGCAGGAGAAATAGAGATGCTGTATGGTGGGACCCTGCACATATTGGACTTCAAACATTGTGTGTTAGTCACCTTTCTAGCACCCTGACATAAAACCTCAGATACCCAACTTAAATAAAAGACAGGTTTATTTTGGCTCACAGATTGGAGGTTTCAGTTTATAGTCAGCTGACCTATTACTTTTGGACCTGTGGAAAGGCATCACATTATGGTGGGAGTACATGGTGGGGCAGATTTGCTTACCTGATGGCCAGGAAGCCAAAGGAGAGAATTAGAGACCAGCACCTCATATATCCTTGAAGGCCACTCCCCAATAACCTAGGACATCCCACTAGGCTCCACATCCTAATGATTCCCCCACTTTCCAAGCTGAGGACCAAGCCTTTAACACATGAGCCTCTGGAACATTTAAGACCCAAATTATAGCATACTGAAGTGGGCAAATAAAAAATCCAGACAACACCACTGCTTTACTCTGCAATCCTGTGTTGTTTAGCAGTGGAGATACAATCTAAGAACTGTGTTGCTTATTGTTATCATCATTATGCAAACATCATGGAGTGGGCTCACACAAAACTGTATGGTATAGATCAGTCACTAGACATGGCCTCTTGCTGCATCAAGAGACATGGTAGGTTGGGCATGGTGGCACACATCTGTAATCCCAGCAGTATAAGGGACTGAGGCAGGAGGATTATGAGTTCAAAGCCAGCCTCAGCAAAAGTGAGGCCCTAAGCAACTCAGTAAGACCCTGTCTCTAAATAAAATACAAAATAGAGCTGGGGATGTGGCTCAGTGGTCGAGTGCCCCTTAGTTCAATCCCTAGTACCAAGGAAAAAAGGCATGGTAGACACAAGGTGTGTGAGACTGCTGCTGATGTAACATGGCACATTGTATACAAAACATTATTTTACAAGTAGGAGTTTGCTGTAATCATAAAAATTATAGTATAGTAAATACATAAATCATAACTTAGTCATTTGTTATTATTATCAAGAATTATGTGCCATGTGTAATTGTCCATACTATCCTTTTATATGACTGGCAGCACATAGATTTGTTTATAGCAGCATCACCCAAATGTGTGAGCAAAGACTACAGGATGGCAGGGTGCCTACAGTGTCTCCAGGCAACAGGAATTTTTCAGCTCTGTAATCTTATGGGACCAGTGTATGTGATCCATTCTTGACTGAACTGTTATGTGGCACATGACTGTATTTGTAGCATCAGCATGTTGTAACTCTCCAATAGCAAAAGAAGCAGATTTATGACATTCTTCCTCTATTATCTAAGCATTTAACATGTCAAAAATATTGCCTGTGAAGCTAACACTAATGATTGGGTATAATTTCCTCCAGTTTGCAGATAAGGAAACTGAAATTCAGGAAAGCTAAGTGTCCTGGCCCAATGCTACACACTCACTAGCAGGGACCCAGGATTCTTATTCAGGTAGGCAGGAAATCACCACACATCTCAGCCTTGGGAAGACAGGACAGATAATAGGTGTGATCTGTCATTAAGAGGCAACATTTGATGCTACCCCAAATATACAATATTTGATTCTTTTTTACATGTCTTTGACTTTGAATGAGGTTGTGTCATGGTAAGTCCATGGAAAGTTGAAAATATTGGAAATTAAAAATGCATTTAATACACCATACCCAGCACACATCATAGTGTAGTGTAGCCTACCCTAAACGTGCTCAGAATATTTAGGTTGGCCTCCATTTGGGCAAAATCTTCTATTTCATAAAATGTATTGAATATCTCATGTAACTTATTAAATGCTTTACTAATGTAAAAAGAAACTGGTCTTCTGATATACTTTCATAACATGATAAAGTTGAACTATAATAAGTTGGAGTCCTTCTGTATGCACCTTTTAGCAGACAGGGAATTGATCTTAGAGGCCTCAACTGATCTGCAGTATTTTTTCTTTCAAGCTGTTTTACAGTTAATATTTCTCCATCTTTGGAGTGAAATGTGTTGACACTATTAATATTCTAGACTGCAGAACACACTTTGGAGGGAGGGCCAAAGAAACCATCCTACACAGAGGCAGAGAGCGAGCGATCAGCCCTGCTTGCCGCCATCCGCGGGCACAGCGGTGCCCACAGCCTGAGGAAGGTAAGAAAGACCCTGGTGAGATGGGTGCCAGTGCCCACCCACTCCTTCCCCACCAGCATCCTATGTAGATGGCATAGAAACTGCCATTATTCCAAGAGGGTGGTGATCCAGCTTCAGAGCAGCCAACCCCTCCTGCTGGGCACATTGGCACTGGAGGCAGGCACGCTACTACTTGAGGCTGGGGCAGCCACTGCACAGGAGACTTGAGACTACCCAGAGGTTCTCCCACCCTCTTCCAAAAACATAACCCCTGCCTGCACCTAGCATGGAACACTTTTCCAAGTTCCTTCTGGCACCCGCATGGCTTCAGGGCTTTGATAACCAGGCAGCATACAACTGCACACCTGCTGGAATGAATAAAGTGCTGGTTTTTGCATAACTGCAGGAACAACATGGTCTTCAGTTTAGGGCAGCATGGTATCACCCATGGCTTCCACATGGAGAATTCAAAGAACAACATAACTTACTACTCAGAGGGTTCTGAGTGTGTGTCTTCCCCACCCTCCAATCTGGTCAGATTTGTGTTTCTTGCCCCTGTTTCTTTCCTCACATGCCAAGAAAAGTTACGAGATCAGAAAGTTCTCAGCAAGACATCACTGCCAAATCCTGGTCCCTGTGATCTGTGACTTGGCAGGACACAGGGACAAGTGTCTAAGCCTTGGGCAGAGAGACTTCCTGGGCTTAGCACAGAAAAGCCATCTGAAGTCTAAGGGTAAGACAGTAAGCTGTGCATTGCCCTCTTGAAAAGGACCTGTATAGACACTGACACTATCTTTTTGAGGCTGCTATAACAAAATGCCATAGGCCGGGTGGCTTATAAACAACAGAAGTTTATTTCTCATCAGTAGATTTGTTGTCTGGTGAGGGATTATTTACTGGTTCATAGATTGCAACTTCTTGCTGTGTCTTCACATTGTGAGGGTCAAGGGACTCCGTGGGGTCTCTTTTATAAGGTCACCGATCACATTCATGGGGGCTCCACCCTTTGACCTCATCATCTCCCAAAGGTCTTGCCTCCTAATGTCATCACCTTGGGGATTAAAGAGTTCATACATGAAAATTTGGGGGGCCATGGATACTCAACCTTTAGAGCAATCATTTAAATGTCTCATTGTTAGGTGTCCTCCTCTGCTTCTGAAGAGCTCCAGAGCTTTCGAGATGCTGCGCTCAATTCACTGGGTGTGGAAAATCCTCAGCAAGAAGATCATGGCCTTCCACCCCCACCGGCCCTGCCGCCACCTCCTCCACCGAACTCCCAGGCTCTCTCTGCATCAAGGACATCTTCCAGGTTCAGCTCAGGAACCCTCAGCAACCCAGTGGATGCCAGGCAAGCCTTGATGGATGCCATCCGCTCTGGCACAGGGGCTGCAAGATTGAGAAAGGTGAGTGCTGTGTGGGGGCAGAGAAAGGGAGGTGCACCTGCCTGTGGGAGAGCCTCAGGCCAGTCAGATGTGGGTAGGTGAGAGCTGGCCCCAGAGAGCAGGCTAGCTTCCTGCATGTTCACTGCCTGCCCAGCCCTTGGCTCCTCAGCAGGTGAAGGTCAAACCCCACTTCCAGCCCCCACCTGAACTCACAAGTGTACTGGTCTATGGATAGGCTAGAGAAGATAATTCACTATGGGCTCCACAGAGCTCACGTCACAGACAGCCCTCGGCCTTCAGTGAGGCTTGCTAGCACACTCCTCTTCCTTGCTTCTTTCCTCTCCTCTCCTCTTTTCTTCATTTCTTCCTTTTCCTTCTAATATCCTTCTCTGCCTTCCTCCCTCTTCCTTATTCCCTCTTTTCCTTTCTCTTTCCTTCCTTTCTGCCTATGTGCCTCCCTCGGTCCCTTCTTCCTTTCTCCTCTTTCTTTCTGCCCTTCTTCATTTTTTCCTTCCTTCCTCTCCGCTCCCCGTCTACCTATCTTCTCTTTCTCCCAGCATAATGCCTAATTGTGATCTAATTTGAAGTCTCCTAGGCAGAGCATTCTTTTCCCCAGTTCCTCTTTCTGTACAGTCTGATGCTGGTCTTCAAGTCGGTTGCCCACCTGGTCCCAGTGGAATCTCTGGCTCCTGCAATAGGATTCAGAAATTAAGGAACACTTGGACCAGATGGCTTCTGAGATGTGTTTCAACTCCAAAATGGTTCTGTAAATCCATTGACCCTTGATTCCTGCACATTCCTGCTGGTTTTGGAATTATGCTAATAATAAGGAGTCTTGGGTATGTTTTTCTATTTTTTGAGAGATTATTTCTATATACTAAGCTTATGTTTTCTCTCAAGAGGTCAGAGCCAAAGATTATTCTCAATTTTATATAAAATGAACAAGGCTCAGAGGAGCCAAGTGTCTTGGCTTTGGACTAAGCACTGAAGGTCTTTGACATTAGGTAACAAGCTGTGTGCTCTATAGAGAGCAGGTCACTCAGAAAATAGGATGTGGGCCACTTGCACTGCTGTGGCCATTAACAAGGCAGACTTCTCCACTTATTTCACACATAGGAACCTGAGGAGACAGAGGAGAGGACTGCCCAGGCAACATGGCTGTAAAGGCTGTCCCTCCTTGATTAGGGCTCTGTGGGTGCTCAGAGGTCTCAGCTCTGTTTCCCTGTTCAAGAGCTGCCTCGATGCCCAAAGACTGTGGCTTTCCATGTCCCCCAGATGGCATTTGTGCCAGCTCTCAGGTCAGTTCCCCAGGGCTCATCCTGATTTGAGTGTGAGGCATTCATGCCAGTGTATGTCTGGCCCTGATTAGGGACACAAGCCATCATCTGTCCAGGAGGCCAGTCAGTCTTCAATGGAAGCACACCTCACCTCAGGATACTGGGGAAACACATCCTTAACTGAATGGCAGTGAAACATCCCAAATCTCATGCCATCTCCTCAGAAGGGGGAAAAGTTAAAAATAATTCAGGGCTTTCTGAGTTTATTTGTGCTTTGTGCTTCCCTCTTCTATGGGATATATGCATCAATGACCTCACATGCTTATTTACAATGACAGAGAAGTAAAGGAAATGTAGTGAAGGGTAACAAAGGGATGATAAAAATTAGACTGCATAAGTTCTGATAAAGATGTAAAAGAGGCCCTGGGATGTCCTCTGACAGATTTTAAGGGCTGTTGTTTCTAAGGCTCCCTGGAAAAGTCCAAAGTGAGTGATGCATTTGGAACCAGCTCCAAGGGTCTGGCTGACCCCAGGGCACATAATCTGAGTTTTAAAAATCATATTTCTCAACATGAACTTCACATTGAGACAGCTACATCCTGAATCAAGTTTTTTTTGGAAGTTTCAACCAACACATCTGCCATTTTTAAATGTTTACCATGTGACTTTACATTAAGATTTGAGATAATTATCAGAATATCCCATTGAAGCTTTTGATCTACTTTGAATAACACTGAGTAGAATTAGAGTAGTTGTCCTTTATCTGTGGTTTTGCTTCCCACACTTTCAGTTCATCACAGTAAACCAGGATTAAAAATATTAAATGGGAAATTCCAGAAATAAGCAGTTCATAAGTTTTAAATGACTTGTTCAATAGTATATTGTTATAATTGCTCTATTTTATTACTGTTATTTTCAATTGTTCCCTGTACATAATGTATAAGTCAAACTTTGCCGTAAGTATGCATAATAAGTATGCATGTAAGGTTCAGTACTACATTAGATGCAGTTTCAGGCATCTATCAGGGGTCTTAGGATGTGTCTCCTCTTCTCTCTGTGACCACACACTGTTCTTGTTAGTTCATATACATCATTTCTGTCTGATTTTTTTTAAGCTTTTCAAAATAGAAATTGTTTTTTCCATCCTGCTGGGGTCATGAGGGTCCTGGTCCCAGAGAGGGTGAAGACTTGCTTGGGGTCATAACTAGCAGTTGGTGGGCTACAAATTTAAACATACATCTTCTTTCTCTGAGAATGCTTTCCAGAAAGAAAACACATGCTGGGGAATAGTCTAAAAGAACAGAGGAAATTGTGCTGTGAGAAAGAAAGTAGGGAGAGATGAAAAGACAGGAGATGAGAAGGGCCCAGACTAGACAAGGCCAGTCCCACACTTAGGGACTAGGAAGAAGCTGGGTGGCGTGAGCCCCAGTCATGCTTGGAGAAAAGGTCACCATGGCTGGAACATCCTGGCTGGAGTGTGAGACCAGTCAGTCATTTCTAGCACAGTCTCAGCTTTCTGTCAGCTACTTAAATGGCATTCAGAAGTTTTGATTATTTCTTGGATGCGGCCCACCATGTCCACCCTGGAAAGTTCTGGTCAGTAAATATTTTTATGACACTTCTGAGATTTGGATGCTCTAAGAAGTTTACAAGTTGCTCTCAGTCTGAAAGCTAGGCCCTGAGTGACAGGGGTGAGTGTCACTCTATCACTACTATACCTGAATGACCTGGGATCTTCTCTTCCTTCTGCATATTTCATCACATAAAACCTGCTGAAGAAAATGTGGCTGAGCAGGCCAAGAATGGGGTGGCCCCTCCACCTAAGCCACCCCTTTTCAGCCTCTCTCAGGGGTACACAGCTGCCACTGGACCAACTTGGCCTCACCAGAGACCATGTTGGATTCCCTTGAATCCAATATTTACTTGCCTTTGTGTCCTGGGGGCTTGCCCCATTGGATCATTGTTGTTGAACAGTAGACCATGTCATCAGGGAAACATTTTCAGTTCGGGCAATGACTTGTAATTTTTCTAACAAGCTGGTTAGATGGCACTTTCCTGCTATGCATGGGCCATGAAGGTTTATGTTGTCTTTGAAGCAAAAATACTGTGGTATGTTTTATAGCCCTTGGGCATCACATCTTTTGAACTTTGCCTCTTATTGTTTCTTTAGCTTCCTTTTACCTGTTTGGGCTTTTGAAGTTTTGCTAACCTTGAGGAAACTGCAGTAAACATAAAGACATCCATATCCGTCCAGTGTGGGTTTGAGCTCTCCCTAGACAGTTGGTCTGAGCAGAATTTCCTTCTTCTCTTTAGGTGTTAGTGGGGGCTCTTGAGCAGGCTTTGCTGGGTGAGCCTCCTGGGTCTGGCCTTATCAAGGCAGTTTTGAGGGCTGCAGTGCATGTCTGCAGGCTCCCCTCCTCCCTTTGCAATGCTACCTTCTCCTTTTAACCAGGGTTCCTAGTCACCCTAGCGATGTCTCCTGGGATGTGGAACTTTCAGCACTAAAAACCTGATGGTCCCAGATGCAACATTTGGTCACCCTGCCTGTAATTCATATAGGCATAGGCAGTAATGCTGCCTATGGTAAAACATAGAAGAGTACATTTGATGGAGAAAGAATGATTACCTTAAAAACGAGTTTGTCAGTTTTCAAGATAATTGAAATGACATCCGCCTTAACAGTGTGAATTGAGCAGTGTCTCTACCTCTGTTTGTGGCTGTCAGAGAAGTCCCCAGCTGTCTGGGTTTCCTCCAGCTTACAAAGGGGCATGCACACCTTTGTTATAACCTGCTCTTGCTTCTTCACAGAATGTCCACCCTTACCAAAGATGATATTAAGTACATACCCACCTCCACATACAGTTCTTTCTTCCCGTCATACACATCAGTGGTAAAGCTGTGTGTCTGTGTGTCTTTGCCCATCTGCTTTACATGTATCATTTCAGAGGGCCTGGAATATGCACCGAGTACCCTCTAAATCTGTGTTTAGATGTAACACATGGGTCTGTCCAGCACTCATTCCATAAGCCTTTTCAGTGAACCTACCAGGGTCCATAGAAAGATGAGTGAAGCATCATTGTGCCTGCAGAAGTTCTCAGCCAGAGAAAGACCCATAGAGAGTGTTTGCATGTTTCTGGGCAGGGTTTGTGGTTGACCTGAGAAAATTTCCAGAAGGTATGGACTTGGTAAAAAATTCCATATCTTTCTGCCGACATGTTTTGTCTTTTGTCTCACAGAGGAGCTGTGCGAGCCCCAACTGGTGACCTTCCTGGAAGGCGAGGATGTAGTTTCCAGTTGACAGATGGGCGTAGGGTGTAGATGTCCTCAATGACTAATCCTAACCCTTCCCCAGGTCAGTGCTGCCACAGCATCCAGACATCTTATCAGCTCCTGACTGCCTTGGGAAATGCCCCATGGAGCCATGCCAAGTTCCAGTCTCACAGTGGGGGCCCCCACAGGTGCCCATTTTCTCACTGCAGGAATTAATGGATGCAGACATGCACACATCACACCACTTGGCCTTGACCATAGTCCCTGTGAGTAACGATTAGAGGTATGACACTATCAGGAGGCCCTGAGCCAGGAATGAGAAGCAGCAACAGCTCTCCTTCCTTCTAAGCCTCAGCACTATCACAAGTGGCTAGAGAACTCCAAGTTCTGGGACTAAGGAATAATGATTTATGTCAGGACACAAACAGACTCATAAGTACAGCTGTGTCACACACTGGGTTTGGAAACTCATTATGTAAGCCTTTATTGTGTTCTGGTTGAGTTGGAAGGGTATCAAGGTACAGGGGGTCAATTTTGTCCTTGCTCACTTCTTTATGCAGAATCGTTCTTTTTGTGACAGTGTTCCAAGATGCCTATCCTTACTACAAGAGGAAAGGTGGTGGGAAAGCTTCTCATGAGACCACTGAATACAGTGACTGCCCCCGACACACCAAGGGCCTTCACAGACACCACTCCCCACATCCCCACACTTTACCAGCAAACTCCTACTCATTCTTCATATTTCCATATTTACCCAGTCCTCAGCAAACCTTTCTTCTTCCCCAAACTGATTAAGCTTCCCATTACAACATCACATAGTTTTTCCTTCATAATGCAAATCACAGCTCTGATTTCTCTAACAACTGGTGTAACTTTTGTTGAATGTGCACCTCTCCTTCCATGGCATAGGCTCTGTGAGTCTTGCCCATTGAATAGTCAGCACCTTCTGTAGTTCCTGGCACAGAGTAAGAACTCAGTAATTATTTATTGGGAGGAGAGAGAGATTCATTCATTGTACACCATGCTTCCTGGCTGTCCTAGTACAACTTGCTGTCCATGTGCTCATAACTCCTCTATTTCATAATCATTATACAATGATGCCAGGAATCCACTTCAAGCTTTAAGAATCCACCTTCTTTTCCTTTTGGAAAATAAGACAAGATTTGTACATTTCCAGGTTTCTATCACAGGCTCCATTTGCATCCTCCAGAGCCAGCCAGTGCTGCGTAGCAGGCTTCCATGTGAGTTTTTCAGTGCCTTGGACCTCTCCACCCAAGCTGGAAGGGAGGAATTTAGCTAGAGAGTTTGAATGCTATCTTAGAGACTTCTCTATTCTCCTCAGCACCATTTCCCTATCATCATTGTTCATATTACCTTTTACCCACATAAAGATTATTCTCCTTAGTCAGCAAAGAAGTAAACAAAATTGGAATATTTTTACAGCTTTCTTTGTGGGCCTCACTTGGCAAGCCTTGACCCTTCACCAATTTTCTCTTTGTTCAACTCAAATAAAGAGAGAATCTTTTAGAAAGCCTGAAATGTGTGGGAAGCCAGGGAACACTTCCGAGCTCTGCTTTGCAGCATGGCCTCCTTCAGGAACAGGTACATTCCTCTTTCCTTTGTGCACACCCTTTGCTGGTCATTCCCAGCCTGGTGCTGATATGTAAGTATCCTGGTGCTGATACTTGGACTGCTAGGCCAGTCCTAGCAGGGCTGCTGCCTTGAGAGCAGAGGTTGATCAGTCCCTCCTTGCTTCACTGACTTGCCCCTTAGTTTCCCTCTTGGGCCTGTCCTGCCAGTTACAGGCTCAGAGAGATTTTCCTTGGCAAGGTGGGAGAGCATCCCAAAAGAGAATTAGCTGCCTGTGCTGGATGTTAGATGAACCAGAGATGCTCAAGCATCTCTGCAGCCCTATCTCCAAAACTTCATTATAGGTTCACTAAACCTATCCTCTGGCTACTTGCTGTAGGTTGGGTCTGGGGTATCCCCCAAAGGCCCATGTTTTAAAAGGGTTAGTCCCCAGCTCATGGTGCTATGGCGGGGGGGCACATAACTTTGAGAGGTGAGGCCTAGTGGGAGGTCTTCCAGTCATTGCGGGTGGGTGCTCAAAAGGGATATTCCCAGCCCTTTCCACTTTCTTGTTTACTTTCTTGCCATGAGGTGAATGGGTTTGAGTTTTATCTGCCACATACTCCCACCACAATGTGTCACCACAGGCCCCAAACCATGGAGCAATCCAGTCACGGGAAACCTCTAAAACTGTGGACCAAACTAAACCTTTTTCTTATGAATTGACTTATCTCAGGTATTCTGTTACATTAATGGGAGGCTGGCTAAAACTGCAAGCTTGATGAAATGATATAGTGAAGGTATTGCAAAATCCTTGTGCTGAGGACCCTATGCAGATGATCTCAGCCACTCTTTTGGAATTCTATAATTTGGCTAGCATTCCTATTTTACCAGTGAAAGAAGGAAAAGATGAGAGTGGGTGAGCAATTCTCTAGACACAACCAGCCAAGATGAAAATCCACACTCCAAAGTGTGTACTCACTATTAATACTTCTACACATTCTTATTTTAAATCCAGGAATAATTTGTGTTTTCTAGTGTACAAAGTCAGCTGGTAGATTGGCTAGGAAATCTACCTAGGCCTCACAGCCATTTGTTCCTATGACTTTTGATAAATTAAGTTTTAACAAGCCCTGATTTTTTTCTCATTTTATAAAAGATCATTTCTCTCATTTTATTATGAAAAATGTCAAGGATATTTAAAAATTGAGATAATTGTACAGTAAACACCCTTACACCTACCCCCAAGGGCTTATGATGATATCTTTCTGTATTTGTTTGATATTAGATCTGTCCACCTATCTATCTTTCTACCATCCAAATGGAATTTTGTTTTTTATGCATTCAAAATGCATTGCCAATATCAGTATGTATCACAGCTAAAAATGTAATATGCATGTTACTGGAGTTTATTTTTTATGGTTGTTTTTCAGATAGAATGCACATTCAGTGGAATGTACACATATTGTGGGTCACATGTGAGTAGCTTGAAACTCATTTGAACATTCAATATCCCTGATGAGTTTTGAGTTTGGTTTTGGATAAATATTAGAAGAATAAAGCTGAAACAGAACTAGTTATATAGAATTTCTAGATTCAGGATGTATATATGTGTGTATGTATAGCTATGCATGCACACACAGATATTTTGGAGTGATTAGGTCACTTATACCATCTGGATGAAGGGAGAGATTGATAGCACAGCTGTACGTAAGATGTTGGAAAAGGGAAGATCTGGTGGCATTAGAAGATACTCAGCTAACCCAGAGCAGTGAATGTGGACCATTTAATGCTGCTGACAGTTTCAAAGCAAAAATAGGGACAAAACAAAGTTTTTTAATATGTTCAGTTCTCACCTGCTTAACAAGAATCCCCAGGGAGCTTCAGCAAGTGGCCCAAATATAGTTTCAGTGATTGGATTTCCAGTCCTACCTGAAACAACCAAACATCCAGACAAAACATGATCTTTAGGTTGCTGAACATCATTTCCAGTAATGATGGAGCACTGATCCGTGAGAGACATGAAGCAAAGGGGCAAGGCCTGTGAGTCCCTCTCCTTCCTGCCTATGCTGTGGTGCAGTCAGGGGAACCCAGACAGAGATCCACAAGCTCCCTGACTGAGGAGCAGTGCCAGAGTCTGCCAAGGCCAGGAGAGCTGAGGTGGGCAGAGTAGATACTGAGGAGGACACCATAGCACCAAGACAGGGTTCCAGAAGCCTCCAGAGGCCCCTCTGGAAGACTCCGTGGATCACTCATCATCCCATGCAAGTGAGGGAATAGAACCGGCAAGTAGGATTAACTAGGGCAGTATCTAGAGCTCACACAGTCTGAGAATAGTACCTGTTTTCACCATCCAGATGAGAAGATGTCAATGCTTGGGCATTGGGTAGAAAACTCAGAAGGGTCTTGCCTCAGTAGTTTACCTGGCTCCTGTGCTGCCCCCCCAGATCTTAAAAACAACACCTGAAATTACCCAACTATGTCCTAATAAACTGCATCCCAGACAAAGCTCAGGAATATTCATAGGAATATAAAATCACCCAGTACCCAGCAAGGCATGTACCATGTCTGACATCCATTCAGGAATGATCGGGCATGCACAGGAGCAATATAATATGAAACCTGATAGATTGAAAATGAATTAGAACTGCCGTAAAATTAACGCAGGTGTTTGAATTGGCAGATGAGGATATTTAAACAGTTAATATAACTCTATTTAAAGTATACAAATAAGTATATTCTGTGACTAAAACAGGATTAAATTTGAAATTAGTAACAAAACCATCTCAAGAAGATTCCCAAACATTGAAGTAACACAGATTTAAATTATCCACAGGTAAAATAAAAGGATCAAAGGGAAAATAGAAAGAGTATTTTGAAGTGAATGTAAACTTGAACACAATATAAGATGTATGTAATGAAAATTCCATAGTCTTACATTGTTCCATTAGGAAAGAGAAGTCTCCTGGGAGGGACCTCACCATCACCTTCAGAAACTAGAGAAAGAAGAGCAAAACTAAAATCCAAGGTAAGCAGAAAAAAAATAAGTAGTAAAGGTCAGCAGAAATCAATGCAATAAAAAGAGAAAAGTAATAAAGAAAAATCAATTAAACCAACAGCTTGTTCTTTAACAAAACCAATAAAATTGATATACCTGTAGCCAGACTTAGCAGGAAAAAAACGGAGACAATTTGGCAATATCAGGAAGGAGAGGCATAATATCACTATCAATTCTACCAATATTAAATAGAGAATATCATCATAAGGAAAATGTGACCAACTTCATGCAATGAACAAACTGCAAACAACAAAAACTGTTAAACACAAAGCTCATGTAAGAAGATATACATAATTTGAATACCTCTGTATCTGTTAAAGAAATTTTTAAGTTTAATTTTAAATTAGAAATCCACATATGCACAACACATGGACATGTGCTATCTCTCTTTCTCTCTCTCACACACACACACAAACACAACTTTGCAGGCCCAGATGACTTCAATGAGGAGTTCACAAACATACACCCAAACTACTGTATAAATTCTTTCTTAAAATTGAATATGAAAAAGGACTTCCCAACTTACTCTATTAAGCCACTACTATTGATTCCAAAACCAAAGATATTACATGAAGAAAACAGTATATAAAAAGGATAATATATGATGGCCAAGAGGGACTTATCCCAAGAATGCAAGGTTGGTTAACATTTAAAAATAATTCCCCACATTAACAAACTAAAAACTAAAAAACATAAAAAGTCATATGATTATTTCAATATACACATTAAAAGTATTTGGTAAAATTCATCATCCATTCTGATAAAAACTCTATAAAGTAGAAGAGAAAGGAACTTGCTCAGTCTGATAAAGGGCATCAAGGAAAAACTGACAGCTGACCTCACAGTTCACAGTGGAAGAATGAATATTTTCCCCAAGAACAAAAACAAAGTAAGAATGTCCATCTCTCACTGATTCTGTTCAGCACACTGATGAAAGTTCCAGCCATTGCAGTCAGGCCAGGAAGGAAGGAAGGGAGGGAGGAAGGGAAGGAAAGAAGGAATGAGGAGGGAAAGGAGGGAGGAGGAAGGAAGGAAGCAAGCAAGCAAGCAAGCAAGCCTAAAGTCTTCGTTTCCCATTCTTAGTTAACCTTATGGAACTCAAACCTGTATGATTCTTTCGTTGTTATGGTTTAGATCTGAAATGCACCCCAGAAAACTTGTGTTTAGAAAACATGATCCCCAGTGCAGCAAAGTTCAGAGGTGGGGCTTTTAGGCGATGATTAGGGCCCCTTATGCTTGTCCTCCTCTCTGGACATGTGTTCTCCATGGGCACAGGCTCCTCTGTCCATCCTATTTATAGCCCTGGAGTTGATCCTTTGGCCTCTTTCTCTTCTGGATCTACTCACCACTCCAGAAATACCCTTCTTCCACTGTGACTCTCATCACCACCTGGATGCCAGTGACCCCAAGTTCTCTATCCCCAATCAGTTGGTCCTGGGCTATGCCTTATACCCATGTCTTCAGCCCTTCCCTGACATTCATACTATGTGGCCCACAGGCTCAAGCTCAGCAGGTTCAGAATTGAACCATCTGCCTCAGTGCCCTGCTCCCCCCACACTCTTCACCCCGTGCTTCACAACCATGGTCCACCTCCCCTTATGCCACATCTCTGTCAAGCATCTACTTGCTCTGGGCACAGGCTAAGCCCTGGCCATTGTACCCCTTGACCTTTGCCCTTCTCCCCACTTTGTTCCCACCAAAAATCTTGAGTCCATCTTCAGTGTGCATTGTGGCCACAGCTTCCTGTTGGGGCTCCCTGCCCTGACCCCATACCCCAACCACAAGCAAATGCAGTAGTGTCCCTCCCCTACTTTTGGTGGCTCTTTCTTCTCCAGCACAAAGTGCAGGTACCATGACAGGACCTCCCTGCACAACCAAATCTCTGCTGACCTCTCCCAGCCTTCATCCTTCTTACCCCAGGGTCTTTGCACATGTTTTTGCTTCTGCCATAAATGCCACTTGCCAATTCCCATTTGTGTGTCTCACAGCTGTTCAATTAAATGTCATTCCTATAGGAAATATTTTCTTGACCCCAAAGCCAGGGACATCCGTTCCTACTAAGTGTCTCACTACCTCTGCCTCCCCTGCACATCACTCATTCCCACAGGATTGTCATTTGCACATTTTCCCATTAGAGTATCATCCTGGGAGGGCAGAGGACCATGCACACCCACCTTGTTCATGACTCCTCAGCACCAACCCTAAAGTCTGTGCCCCAGTAAGTACTTATGGAATATAGAGAAGAGTGAAGCTGTAGGACTGGAAGTAAAGGTGATGCCTCTCCATCTTGGTCCATTCAGACTGCTATGAGAAAATGCCAGGCTGGGTGGTTTATACACAACAGACACAACTGCTCATGGGCCTGGACGCTGAGAGTTCAGGATGGAGGTGCTGCAGATCCAGAGTTCAGCAAGTATCCACTTCCTCACTGAGGGTAGCTTCTTTTGGTAGAAGAGTATAATGGTGGAGGTGGGAATGAGCTTCCTCCATCCTCAGTTGTCAGGGCACTAATTCCATTCATGAGGGCTCCATCCTCCTGACCTGACCTCCTCACCTCCCAGAGGCCCCACCTGCTATCCCATTGCCCTGGGAGTGAGAATCTCAACAGATGGATTTGGGGGGAAAGGCAAAGGCAGCACAAACATGCAACCCATGACATTGCTGTTGTTAAGAGAGTAGGATCTTCAGGAAACCTCCAGGAGAGTGGATAGTGAGAGCAGAGCCCTTGTGTTCCTACAGGTAGTCATTAAAGCTGTGGTATTGGAGTGTCCTGGAAGAAGGACCCAGAGTGGGAAACGAGAGCAGAGAGCTGTGTGGAGATGTTGGAAAGTGGGCACAGCTGCCATCAGTGTCAGATAGACACTGGCCTATCTGCATACCCCTCCCAGGTTTTCAGGGCCTTTGGGCTTCATTTTTTCCTGTTAAGACTATTGTGAGGGACAAAATGAAGGAGAGTGTGTACAGGGGTGGCTCAATGCCTGGAGCAAAGATGCTTCAGAAATGCTAGCTATTATATGGGCTGCTACCACATACCTCATCTTAAGCTTCATCAAAAGGCTGCCCAGGGAGGCGGGGACCACTGAATGTGGAGGTGGTGCTGATGGAGCTGAGAGGTCAGAGGGCTAGTGGGCCTTGTGAATACAAGAGGCATTTGAGGTGTGTGAGTGAGTGGGCAGAGGGCCCCTGCTCTCTATTTGGGTGGCCTGTGAGTCACTACTTATAAGCACTTGATTAGAAGCAAATTGCCCTCCCTAGATTTCAATTTTGTCATCTTTATGTTAGTGACAATACCCCTAACAGTGGAAATAATGCATCATTTATTAAGTTGAGCTGATATTCATAGGATTTGTACAGTGCTCACAATGGCATTCATCACATGGGAAGCACACAGGAAATATCCCGGGTACTGTTGCGGTGGCAGTGGTCATTCATATTAAGAGAAATCTATTTGCATCCTTGAATATTTGCTTCACTTGGCACACTGAAGAAGTGAAATGCAGTGGCCCAAGTTATAGTACAGTTCAACTTAGAATGTGTCGAACTCAGTGAAAGAGCAAGAGATCCAGTGTCTTTTCACATGAATCCATTTATTTACTTGAAAATATGGTTTAATTTTTGCCTTTAGAAGTACTAAACTTATTTCCTTCAGAAGCCCAGGAATCTAGCTTTTGGTTGGGTTATCACAGGAGGACTCCTGGCTGAACTAACAGTTGAAATTTTTTTTTTCATCAAGTGTTACAGGAACTTGTGTGTTCCCATTGATTCATTCACTCACTCCACAAACGTTTGCTCACTCAGATATCCATGTGCTGGGGATAGAGTGGTGAGGCCATCTTGATTCCTGCCTCAGAGAGCCCTGCTTCCAGCCATGAGAGACAAACCATTAGGACACCATTGTACAGTGTCCTAAGGCACACTCATATACTGCTGCAGATGGGACCACAATTTGGTGTAGCCAATATGGAAAGCAGTATGGAGATTTCTTAGAAAATTGGGAATGGAGCTACCATTTGACCCAGCTATCTCTCTCCTCAGTCTATACCCAAAGAACTGAAAAACAGGCTGGAGGAACTGGTGGGAGGGACAGAGACAGCACGCAGCCTGGGAGAATGACAGCAACCTGCAAATATATCCAGATTCCCCAGCAGTTTCTTCTTTTTCTTGAATGCAATAAAAAGTCATTGAATCAATAAATGGGATGGACTCAAACTAAAAAGCTTCTTCTCAACAAAAGAAACAATCTGTGAGGTGAGAAGAGAGCCTATATCTTGGGAGCAAATCTTTACCCCTCACACATCAGATAGAGCACTAATCTCTAGGGTATATAAAGAACTCAAAAAACTAAACACCAAAAAACCAAATAACCAATCATTAAATGGGCCAAGGATCTGAACAGACACTTCTCAGAAGAGGGTATTCAGTCAATCAACAAATATATGAAAAAATGTTCATCATCTCTAGCAGTTAGAGAAATGCAAATAAAAAACTACTCGAAGATTTCCTCTCCAGTCAGAATGGCAGCTATTATGCATACAAACAACAATAAGTTGGCGAGGATTTTGGGGGGGAAAGTACACTCATACACTGCTGCAGGTGGGACTGCAAATTGGTGTAGCCAATATGGAAAGCAGTATGGAGATTTCTTAGAAAACTGGGAATGGAGCTACCATTTGACCCAGCTATCCCTCTCCTCAGTCTGTACCCAGAGAACTGAAAAACAACATACTACAGGGACACAGCCACATCAATGTTTATAGTAGCACAGTTCACAATAGCTAAACTGTGGAACCAACCTAGATGCCCTTCAATAGATGAATGGATTAAAAAATGTGGCATATATACACAATGGAATATTACTCAGCAATAAAAGAGAATTAAATCATGGCATTTGCAGGTAAAAATGGATGGAGTTAGAGAAGATAATGCTAAGTGAAGTTAGCTAATCCCAAAAAAACAAATACTGAATGTTTTCTTTGATATAAAGAGGCTGATTCATAGTGGGATAGAGAAAGGAAGCATGGGAGGAATAGACAAACTCTAGACAGGGTAGAGGGGTTGGAGGGGAAAGGAGGGGGCATGGGTTAGAAATGATGGTGAAATGTGATGATCATTATTATCCAGAGTACATGTATGAAGATACAAATTTGTGTGAATATACTGTGTATACAGCCAGAGATATGAAAAATTGTGCTGTATATGTGTAATAAGAATTATAATGCATTCCGCTGTCATATATAAATAAAAAAATTTAAAAGAGAAAAAAAAACAGAAAGCTTTCAGGCATATTTTTATTTTAAAAAGATTGCATCATGGATGTCAGTGTAAAAGGTCTCAGCGTGTTTCACGAGCACTGTTTACAAGGACAGTTAGGAACACGGGTCCTTGAGCATCGGTCTAGAGCCTCAGCTTATCCACAGATCCTGAATAACCATACATCTATCCTCTTTGCAGGTGCCCTTGCTCGTGTGAATCACTGGTAAAAGTCAGAATTGCAGAAACTCACCTATAAGACACCCCCAATCATCACTCAAGGACTCCACGTGACAAGGAACCTCAAGATTTGGTGTTATTTTCTTGTCTACAGGCCAAAATGCGTGCAGTTGATTTTCAGTGTTCCTGCATAATGGTTCAAAGGAGGAGAAAATGCTGCTTTGCTATGCGGCTTGTGTGCCAAGGAAATGTGTTTTGCCTCTGAATACTTAAAGTTGCCAATAAACTATTCTTGTTGGCAGGTTAATGGGAATATAAATGCTGGAGCCCAGCACTCACGCTTAATTATATTTATGAGCACAGTGAAAAGAATCATGGCTTAGATTGATTTTGGACCTTGGAGACTTTGACCACATATAGACAGTTAAAAATTATTGAATTGTTTAAAATCTTTTGAATTTTAGGGGGAAAAATCCGTAAATCAAGAGAAACAATCTGAATGTTATATGCCACATGATGCTATGCATTTAGGGAGTAAAAAGAGAATTGGGAGGCTTTTCCAAAGACAATTCATGTTGGGTAATAAAACGATTCAATTTTTATTCCTCAAGTTTTTGAGGCTAATACTTCATAGAAGGTCTTGGGCTGTGATTGGAGCAACTAAGATTTTAAAAAATCGACAACTTCCACTAAACTAACAATCTTACTTGTGTGGAGAGGGCATTTCTGGGCCCTCAAAGTAGTAGATAGAAGGTATCAGGATGGTGTTGGAGGGATGGTCAGTGCCCCATGTGGACAGACGTTCCCTGGCAGGCTATGAAGTACAGCAGGCTGCTCCACAGGGACCTGAGTATGGAGCCTGGTGAAGTGGCTGGGAACCTTCTGAAATCCTGCAGAGCACCCAGGAGTGAGGCTGTTAGGTACCTATGTGTCACAGTTTGGGTCAAAGTTGTGTTTCTGTTTTAATGATTTGGATGTGATCCTGATGCTTTTCCCAACAGTTCAGTAGCTGTCCTTGTATTATATTATAGTCCTCTTGCAGCACAAGGTGCTCAGTCACCAGTATTTATAAGAAAGTTTAACCACAGCCGTAATTTTTCACCTATATCTCTAAAATGTTTTGTTAAATGAAGGAAAACAAGAGAGTAATAGATATCAAGAGGAGTTCATGAAATAAAATCTCTTAGTGAAAAAAACAAAATATGATGAAATCATTTTAATGTTTCATAACTATTTCAGATCCAGGCATCAGGTAGAATGGGAACTTTGCGTTGTCTGATTAATGTTGCTAAACTTTCTCAGTGAGGAAAGAGCTACCAGCCAATTGCTCTTAGTCACAGCTGTCCACTATTTCTTTTAGTGCCACAAATAAACAAAAATCAAATCATAGCTCTGTTTTGTGAATTTCATACTGCTATGTGTTTGGATACCCCCACCTGCAAAATGTGAAGAAAGGACTCATTCATTCCATCAACAAATATTTTCAGCTACTATATTAGTCAGCTTTCTATTGCTGTGACAAAATGCCTGAGATAAAGAACTCATATATATGAGGAAGGGTTTGTCTTGGCTCATGGTTTCAGATATTTTAATACACGATCATGGGGCCCTATTACTTTGGGTCTATGGCAGTATAGTACATCATGATGGGAGCACATGGCAGAGGAAGCCTCTTCACCTCATGGTGCCCAGAGATGAGCAAAGAGAGAGGAAGGGGCTGGGATCTCAATAGCCTCTTCAAGAGCACATCCCTACTGACCTAACTTCCTTCTACCAGGCACCAAACCTTAAAAGTTGAACCTCCCCAGTAGCAGCACAGGCTAGGGGCCAACCATTAACATGTGGACCTTTGGGAGACACCCCACATCCAAACTTTACCAGCTGCTAAAGCTGTCTGCTCTCCTTCTCTGATCAGATAAGAAAACAGACAAGCATCTTCACCCTCATGGAGTGTAGATTACAGCAGAGGAGTCAAACCACAAACAAGATAACTCAGCAAAATGATGTTTATATTTAGATGCTGATAACTACTGAGGAGAAAAAACATCAGGAGAAAGGGGATGCAAGATTCAATTAGGATAATGAAGAAAGGCCTCAGTGAGAGGAGACGTCTGAGCAAACACCTGAAGGAAATAAGAGAGGAAGTCTTGGGTGCCTACACAGCTGGCAGCAAGAAGCACAACTGCAAATGCCCTGAGGCAGGACTTTGCCTGGAGCATTAGAGGAATAAGAAGGAGGCTATTGTAGGCCAGGCAGGTGGCCCACAACCATAATCCCAGCGGCTCTGAAGGAGGATCACGAGTTCAAAGCCAGCCTCCGCAAAAATGAGGCTCTAAGCAACTCAGTGAGACCCTGTCTCCAAATAAAACACAAAATAGGGCTGGGATGTGACTCAGTGGTTGAATGCCCCGAGTTCAATCCCCTGTACAAAAAAAAAAAAAGAAGGAGGCTATTGTAGAAGATGGGAGAAGAGACAAAAATACTATGTAGTTTTCCCTGACCTCTGCCCCACCCCAAGTCTTCACACACACTTGGAGCCCCATTTCTCATAACAGTCTTGCTTTCCAGCAAGACCAAGAGAGTGCCAGACATGAAAGACCCAGAAATGGGCCTTGGTGAGGAGAGGACTCCCCCTTCCATTAGTTTATTTTGCTCATATGAGAAAGGATCCACTTTATAGTAAATTTATTCTTTGTTGAAATTGTGTTATAATCTGCATCTCAAGCCATGCTGAACCCTTGGGTTTTGGGATGTGGAATATGGAATACTTAGAGCCTTCTGGGTCATGCTTTAGTCTTTTTCCAGAGTGTTTTCAAAACTATTTTTGGTTCATCTCTGGGTGAACCCAAGTGGCATTAAGACACCGTCTTGCAGGGGAGCAAACTGAGGCCCGAGAAGATCAAGCAAGTCCGGGAATCCTGCAGTTCTCACTCTGCAGCCACCCTTCAGGACTCTCTATTGCCTACAGAGTTAGATCTAAACTGCTTCCTTCGTTCACAGGACTCTTCGTAGCCTAGATCTCCCCCTCTAGCTTCCCAGTCTCTACCGCAGTCAATCCACCTGTTTCCTGCATGTATCCTAAGAGCTCCTTTGTGCCTCCTTTATTCTTTGAGCATTTCCTCTGCCAAAAATGCCCAGCACTCTCCACTACACACCTCCTTCAACTGGAAAATCCAGCCCTGTCCTAGACCCTGCAGCTCTATGTATCCACCATGGTCAGCCCTCTCCCCACACCCCTGCATGCTCATCCCAGGCTCCCCTAACTCTTTCCCACACACACATCACTCTTCATCTCTGACTGTCCTGACCACAGTGAAGAGTCTCAGCACGGGAGACAGGAAAAGGCCTGCCTATTATACCAGCATCGTTATTAATAGCATTCCCTCTCTCCCCAAATGTTCCAGTTTGAATAGCAAATTCTACATTCTCTCTTATTGCCCTGGTTCAAATGAGGTAGTCAATAAAGTTTCAATGAAAGAAGCAAGGAGAAGCTAGTGGATTTGGAGCCTGGGTCCCTTCACCTCTGCTCTGGGGTTCTTGGCAGTTTCTCTCTGCCTCTGTGTTATACATTATGCCCAGAAGAGAACCCATATAGGTCCTTACAGAACCCCTGCAAGGCAGGTGACCACAGCAAAGGCTGTTGAGACTCTCCCTGATGGATCTAGCTTGTAAAACCTGCTCATCACCTTAAAACAGGAGTTTATTCATGACACATGCCCCAGATTAGATCATTTGCAACCTGGAGAAGGATTTCACATTGCCTCTTCAACGCTGGCTTCCCTAGCGTTCCCTTGTGGGCATCTTTCCATAATCATAGCCTTCCAGTTATACAAATCGTGACCATATCTATGTCCCCAGGTAGGCTCCCACCTAAGCTCCTCGTCTGACATTCCAGTTACCTGCAATACTTCTCACTTTTATGTTTTGCCCACTGTCCTGTGTGACCGTGACCCAGACAGATAATACCCTTGCCCTGTTGCTCATACCTTCTGGGCAACCTACCTCCTGGGTGTTCCCCTCAGAATAACAAAGGAAACAACTCCCCCATCACCAAAACCTTTTTCTTTTTCACCTGTCCCAGTCATCAAGTGTTCAGCCTGTTGTTTCTACTTCGATGGTGTCTGATCACCTTTGAGTTAGGCAGATTCCCGGTGGTTTAGCCTCTTATCTTTTATCACCTTCCTTACGTGGACCCAGAGTTAACTCAGAACAGTAGCTTCTGTGGTGGCAGCTACGCCTGTGCCAGGGGTGAAACTTGCTCTGCAGAGGGCAGCATACTAGGCCATGTCATAAACTGATCATCATACCAACGTCTGACTACATCTCTCAATTGGTTTTGAACTTAAAAGAGACAAAAGAGTGTGAAGTTCTCCCATTCTTCACAGAAACAACAAAAAAGAAAAGAAACAAAAAACGGTAAAGAGGAAGACAAATATCAGCACCAAACCCAATGCCTAGCAGGATGGCCTCCTCCTGTGTTCTGAGGTCAGTGGCTACATTCTCTCTCCTCATCTCTCTCTCTCTCTACACACACACACACACACACACACACACACGTGTGTGTGTGCATGCGCACAGGGAAGAGGGTAAGCATGCAGCACCTCTGTCCATCCCAGGCATAGTTCCATATCAGCTAACCCCGGGAGAACTAGGACCTTTGGATGTATGGTGACATATGAATGCTCAGATGGAGTTCTGCAATCTGACCACATTAGTAACCCTTCTTCCACAGGTGGAAGCATGGACAGAAAGACCAGGTTGTCCAGGGGGGTTCCACTCCTCCATTTGACTCTTGAAAGCTTCCATGTGAGAGAACTTTCCAGGCCCAGAAAACCTTGGTAGTTCAGGCTACAGCCCGGGGTCATTCCTTGTGTGGTTGGTTGTGGATGCTCTGAGAGGGGTTCTGACAGCCCAGCGTGGGTGCGTTTCCTCTTGGAGACATTGACTTGGAGGTTCTGACCAATCCCAGAGTTTGCCTCAGACAATGTACTTTATTAGAGTGGAGATCCACTGAGAAATTTTTTTTTAAAATCTCACCACAAAGAAATACTATTAATGGGAGATGATTGGACTGGCCACGAGGAGGCAGGAGTTGATACGTGGAAGGTTTCAGGCAGAGGACAGCAATGCCTGATTTGGGCAGTGATGATAATGGAGATGGAAGGCTGAGACCTATCTGGCGTTGGCAGAACAGGGTGCCCACATAATTAGGAGGAACGAGAGAAGGCGGGGAAGGAGCTTTCTAGTGACCCAAGACACCAGGGTGTGCTGCTGGTTCCAACCAGGCATGCTAGATGGAGCTCTGCTGTGTCTGATGTTTAACTCTCAGGCAGATCCTCTCCAGGATCCTCAGAAGCATTTGGGTTCCTCAGACCTGTGCCATATGCATTTGAGTTCTAAGGTGATACACCCATTCCCTGCACAACCCTCCCACCCTCCTATTCTTCTCTCCCTCCTTCCTTTCCTCCATTCTTCCTTTCTTCCTCCCTTCCTCTCTCTGTATCCTCCTTTTCCTCCTTCATTCATATTTTCCTTCTCTTCCTTGCTCCCACCCTCCCTTCCTTTTCCCACTTTCCTTTCCACTATCTTTCCAACAAACGCTAAACCTCTCTACACCAGACTGTGATGGGTGCTGGGGACAATTATGAATTTAATGGAGTCCCTGACTTCCAAAAATGCCACTAGAAGAGGAAATTTCACATGGAAATGGCCAATCAGTGAATGTGACACATATCCCAGGAGAGGGAGACACAGGCAAGGCTGGGGACTCTTTCTGGAGGAGGAGCGGGGGCAGAAGCCCCTGAGGTGAACAACAAGAGTGAGTGAGTCCTGCTTAACAAGTGGAAAGGGCAAGGAGTGGTCAACCAAAAAGAGGGAGAAATGCCTGGAAATATCCAGAAGCAGAGATCATACATCAGGTCCACTTCTCGGGTGTCTCAGGGTGAAGTTTCTTCACTGGGGCTATTTCTACCATTGAAAACATTCCTTGGATGGAGGCCACTGCCTTCCAACCCATGTACTCCACTGGAAGTGTGAATGCATTCAAAGCTGAAGGATTGGTCTGAGAAGCGATTAACTTGGTTGGCACTTGCTGGTGAGTGGTTTGGCTGTGCTCCTGATTGGAGTACTGATAGGTAAGTGCAAGTGGCAAGAGCTAACCCAGAGCCAAAAGCAACCCACTATTTTTTCAATTGAAACACACACACACACACACACATATATATATACACACACATATAATATATACATATATCCTCCCCAGGATATATATATATATATATATATATATATATATATACACATATATATATATGTAAAGTATTATATGTATATATACACACACATATATACATATAGTATACATTGCATATACATATATGTGTATATAT